AAGGTACGAATTTAGGCTCCCGACGAATGCACCGACCAGTGCTCATTCCGACCAGTTGCGCACGCGACTTGCAATGCGCTCAAATTCTTTTTGGTATTCGCAAAAGCTAGCCGTTTGCCATATATGCGACAAGGCTTTGTCGCAATTGTGGTAATCCGACAATCTACATCGAGTGATCAGCTCTTTTTTCAAAATATTTTCAACGAACCCGCATATCCTTCTTCTTGTATACACGCGATATTCATTTTCACCAAACATTTGTCTCCCCGTCGAGATAGTAGGCAACAAATTTTACCCTCTCGGCCTTCGGAATCTCATTGATATCGAAATATTGATTAGCACGACTCAACCATGCATCTAGATCGATCGCGTTGAATGTAGAGTTAATTTCAGCCTCTCGAACTTGCGCATCTCATTATGATTTGAGCCATGTGATCGGTTATCAAATCCCCCCTCTAATTGGTCGCATTCGCCCTCAGAATCATATGAATCTTTCGATGATGAGTCGGAGTTGCCCCCTCGCTGTGCTCGCTTCCCGACCGTGCCGAGCATCAGCCACTCGAGTCTGGCGATCGTCTGGTTCGTAGAATGAAGATTGTCGGTCATGGTTCGCAAGCTCTCCTTCAGATTGTTAAGCCTCACTTGATTTTTCGTGGTGATACATGATCAATCACTCTCAATGCAAGCACCAATGATGAAAATCGCATATCATGGTATTTGTATTTGTGGAAAATCGCACTATCAGCCTCGATTTACATAATAGATTTGTGCTCGAAAGTTTTGTTATTTTTTATTGCTTAATAAAATCAAAGATGGTTACATAGGCTATTTGAAGAAGAAAAATACCAAGTCTATAAGGACATAACTTCTAATCCTAAGAAAAGTAAATATCTATGATCCTAAGAATTACCAAAATAATCAAACACCTATGCTAATTAATAATAGAATTATAGTAAAAGCCAAACCATGAATTTTGGCTAGCTTGTTTCTCGAGAATCGTCGGCCTTCATTCGCATCACCTGGTCGCGACACACAAACGAAGGATTGTAGCGACACGAGCATTGTCACACGGGCCAACCAGGCAAGGAGCCCCAATGCTCCGCTACGCCTCGTTCAAATAAAACCGCTTTTAAGTCCAACTAATTTTTGAGATAATTAAGCTCAATATTTCCCCCATCTTATTTTTGTCATGAAATAATTCTTTTTTAACTTTAAAATTATTTTACGAAATTATTAAATTTTCTATTTATGTTATGTAAATTTGTATTTAACTAATTTTGCCCACATTGGTAAAGTCACCTTAACCTCACCTACCGGCAACGTTGGAGGTAGATTCTTCATGTTTGTATTATTTTGACATTGTTCTAGTCTTATGAATGGGAGAGAGAGAGAGAGAGAGAGAGAGAGAGAGAGAGAG